AAACTAGGAAATGCTAAAGGAATTTTTGGCCATGTGATGTGGGTCCAAATTGTTTATCCAATGGCTCGACCCCGATATGCTTCAGTTAATTTTTAGCAGATCATTCAGCGTGACTCCATTCACCACTGAAGACACAATAGCACCGGGCAGTGAACAGAGTTTAAAGAAAGTGTAAGACAACAGCACTACAGCAGTAATTCTTGTTTTGTAGAGAGAGAGAAGGAGTGAAGAAATAAGAAAGTCTCTGATTGGACTGAGAGACTAACTGCGTGACCAAAGCCCTCCGCAGATATGGATCAGTTAATTTGATGGATGTAGTCCAAGTATTGATGAAATCATGTCCACTTCTGGTTTGACATTAAACCTGTAAGACTGGTGCTGGGGCGAACATTTAGCTCAATGGGAACAGGGGAATAATAGCGCATACATAATGCCAGATATGCCCTAATGCATAATAAGTGACTTAAATCAGATGTGAGGAAAGAGTCAAATTGAAAATGAAAGAAACATTCTTGCAACAGTGCCTTTTACAGGAAATGACAGAGGAGGCCGGCTTAACATGTGTCAGATAATGGAGAATAGAAGCTCTCAAAGGTAACAAAAAGCACAAAACATTTCACGACGATTTTAACAGATATTCCATTTAAGCAGCAGCAACTCCACGTTCACACTGCAGTATCAAGTGTCACACCTCAAATATTTGGCATCGTGTTGACAAAGATTTGACAACAAAAAGGCTGCATTAATTTTATTATCTGTGAAAAATATGATCTGCGCTGTCTCCCTTGAAGTGTGAACAAAGAATATTTAATCTTTTAAATGCTAAATACTTGAGATCTGTTTTTAGAAAAAATACATATTCACTCCTCATAAAGCTGTGTTCTTTGTTCGTGAAAGTTTGCGCTGTGACTTTTCTGAGATTAACCGAAGCACTTGAACTCCTCAACTGTCGGGCACCTCGACATTTTGGATAGTTTTTCATCCCACTGCATCTGCGTCAGTGTAAAGGTCATCAAGTGGACTCTTACATTTTAGCAAAGTCAGCAGTCTGAGCAGTTCTCCCAAACAAACATCGGTGTTATTTTGAACCTTTTTGACACGTAGGGTTCCTTTTCATTACCCTTTGAGTGAAACAGTAATTATTTTAAACGTCACAAGAATAATTGGATTTAATCTTGCACTTTTACCCCAAGTGTTACCGGCTACGATGGTTGATATCATGCAAACTACTGTTATTATTGGGTGATTCAAAAAGCTTATTTGACACAGACTTATATTCAAAAGTAATTTACTCACATTTGTTATATGGCTACTATACAACAGATGTGCAATAAAATATTTTTAAAAAAGTGATAAAGACTATATGAAGTCTCCCCATGCTTAATAATCAGATGACAGAGATGAATCCTAAATGGCCTAAAGAATAATCAGTCTCAGGATCTATAATACAGTGGAACCCCGACGTACGAAATTAATTAGTTCCCGAGGGTCTTTCGTAAGTCGGAAATTTTCAAAGCACCCATCGCGCCTTTTGACTGAGGCGATGCTGAACGATAGGCTATAGGCTAATTGCTAACTAGAACAACAATACGTTGTTCAAGTGGAACAGCGAAGCGCAAGTACGGAAGCCAAGGGGTTGTCACATGATT